ATTGTACGTGATGCTCCAATAACTGGAGCCCGTACGTTCTATACTGATGCAAATAAATCAGGGAAAGCAGGTTACAAGTCAGATGAATTGAGTAAGGTGGAACAAAGCCCTTATAATTCTGTCCAGAAGGCAGAATTATATGCCATTCTTATGGTGCTAAGGGATTTTAAAGAACCTCTTAATATAGTTACAGATTCACAATATGCAGAAAGAGTTATCTTGCATATTGAAACCGCTGAATTTATACCAGATGGCACAGAGTTGACTTCATTGTTTATCCAGGTACAAGACATAATCAGGAACAGGCTTTGTCCAATGTACATAACATACATCCGGTCCCATACAGGTCTGCCTGGTCCTCTAGCCCAAGGCAACGCTGAGATTGATCAATTATTGATTGGAAGTGTGTTGCAGGCCTCGGAATTTCATAAGAAGCATCATGTCAATAGTAAAGGCCTAAAGAAAGAATTTTCCATTACTTGGCAACAAGCTAAGGATATTATAAAGAGATGTCCTACTTGTTCTTTCTATAATCAAACACCGTTGCCTGCAGGGAGTAACCCAAAGGGTACTAAGAGAAATGAAATCTGGCAGATGGATGTGTTCCACTTTATGGAATTTGGTAAATTAAAATATGTACACCACACCATAGACACGTATTCAGGTTTTCAATGGGCTACTGCCCTGAGCTCAGAAAAGGCTGATTCAGTAATCACACATTTATTGGAAGTTATGGCCATCATGGGTATACCTGCGCAAATAAAGACAGATAATGGTCCAGCATATGTATCTAAGAAAATGAAACGCTTTTTTGATTATTATAATACAAAACACATTACAGGTATACCAAATAATCCTACAGGTCAGGCAGTTATAGAAAGATCAAATCGTACTATAAAGGATATGCTGAACAAACAGAAAGGGACTGAAAATACCCCCAGAAATAGATTACATAATGCTTTATTAACCTTGAATTTTCTTAACGCTAATGAGAAAGGAACGACAGCAGCAGAAAGACATTGGATAATGGAAAAGTCTGCTGAACTAAATCAACCGATTTATTTCAAAGATGTGCTGACCTCTCAGTGGAAGCCAGGAGATGTGCTACGTTGGGGAAGGGGTTTTGCTCTTGTTTCCACAGGAGAAGAAAAATTGTGGATACCATCAAAATTAATAAAGTTTCGATTTGAAGAGGAGAAACCTCTTGGAAAGGAGAAATGACAACTAATCCACAACGATGATATTCATACAGGTGGTAAGAAAAACATATAGAATGGGGGCAGGGTTCTGTTCTTATCTCCACAGGAAAACACTCATCTTTGAGAAATTCAAGGGACCCTGGATGTTTGGATACTGACAGATGGAAAAATACCTGCCCAATAGGAAATATCAAGACAGCTTAATGGGTTGTGTAAGTAATATTAAACCATATTTCTAAATTTATAAAGCTGGTTTTGAAGTTGGACTCTGGCTCAGTCCCTCTCCAATTCCAAGCCTGTTAGTAAGAGAAAAACCCAGAGTTTCTGGAGTTTCTGTCTCATGTCAAGAGCCATGATATGGGACAGAAAGAAATATGAGTTTAGAAAACATCTTTGCTTTTCTTCATATCTATCATACTTTTCATTGAATATATCTATCATGTCTTTCATTGAATATATATATGTCTATATATGTCTATATGATTAATGTTTAAGTTTTTCATAATGAACAATGAGTTTTTCCTGAAGTGACATTTGAAGTTTCCAGGAAGAAGATGGGGCCCCATAACAACAACTCCACCTGGTTGATATGACGTCATGATACTGATAGCGCTACTACAAGACCTGCTTTTGGTACCAGCTGCACAAGACAGTTCCAACTTGGTTAGCTGAAATGGTGCACATCTTATACAACATTTTGGCCAGACCTGCACAAAATACTCAGAGACTATTGGCAATTTTAAAAGACATTGATCTTGAAATTTAACCATCATTTCACTTTCACAGGATCCCCCAGAAAGAACGTCGCCCCCATGACAGCTGGAAGTAATTCTAGAGGACAACGTCCCCTCTCCCAGTAAAGTTTGCCCTTGGGTTTAGGGACATCATTTAGGGGTTGATTATAATTAGTATACGATTGAGGGTTGGGGGAGGAATTTTATACGCTCAGGGATCATTTTGAAAAAAAAAAAAAGAGGGATGATGGGATAATAGATTTGTAATTGTGAGTTACTGTTTTTAGACAAATACATTGGTATAGATTCTTGTATATTGATACAAAGTTAAATTATATTGACTATTGTACGCATGCATGTTTCTACCTCTGTTTAAAACATTTTTTATGTATTGACATATATTGTATTGATATATATATATATATTGTATATATTTACCATATTGCAGTGTACATTTCTACCTCTGATTAAGATACTTATATAATGATTGTGTATTGATATATATTTACCTACTGCAATGTATATTTGTACATTGTTTATATTTGGAGGTCATTGTCCTCATTTGTTTCACAGTCGTTTATTGTCTTAGTCTTTAAGTTAGATAGATATTGAGAATTATATAGACTAATAGTCATCTAAGTTTGTCATTTATAATAGACTAATCAGGTTCTTTAGATATATAGAGATTATACTCAGTATAGATAGATAATCTTCAACTTCTTCAAAGAGTTGTAGAAAATGGCCTTTAATCTAACTCAGAGTTTTGTGGTAGTGAGACACAATTGCTCCTGGCAACACCACTCTATTCCCGAGAGAATGTTGAGCACCAAAGACACTCCACCTGGAGCCTTCTTTTTGGCAGAACTGGCCTTGGGGCAAAGAAATGCCCATACCTCAACGACTGACAAAGATACAGAGCGTGCATCAATGGATAAAACAGGGCTGTCATATCCTGCCAAGACAGGGTAAGATAGTTTTGAAAAGTTGCTTGCCTTTGAAAATGGTATGTCAGTTATGTTAGGCCTTAGCCAAAGTTGGTTGCTTCAACGCTGCTAACGTGATTTTGGGTGATTGCCCAGGTAGCCAGTTGTCTCTGTGATTTGTTGCATGTTTTGGAAGTTGTTTTACTAAACTTCCTAATTACCCAGGTAACATTATTTCCCTTCTCAGATCTTTGATGGGGTTGAAGACTATATAAATGTAGTTACTTTCTCTCATGACTTGGCCAAGTTATTTATTATACAAGACCTAAGCTAGTTAGAATAGGATATTTGTACTTATTGTATATAATTTCATAGTAGGTTTAGAACTCTCTTATTTAAACAAAAGGGGGAGGTGTTGCGGGAGGTCCTCCCACTCCCAGCCTATCACCGCTGAGGTACCCATTGGGGCGTGGTTTCTCTCCCTTTAAAAAAGCAGCCACTTCCCTCTCCTCTTCTCTTCACTTCCTGCTCCGCTGGCGACTAGACTCCTTTCCTGGTTGCGTAGAGGGCTGTTGCCTGGGACAGTGATCTGTAAGTTTTTTCCCCTTTAAATAAATACCACCCTAATAATCATAACCCCGAATTGGTGTGGCATTGTTTGTGACTTACGCCTTCAATAGAGTCTCATGTGGGTTAGTCTTAAAGTCTACATGTATCTTTGGATGACCTTAAACTTCTAATCTACTGCCTCCAACTCCTGAATGCTGGGATTATAGGTGTATACCACCACACCAGGTTTGTGTGGTGCTTGGAATTCAACCCAGGGCTTCTCACGTGCTAGGCAAGCCCTCCACCAATGCTAATAATAACCATATTAATGTAAGAATTTTGTTAGATGTCTCTTGGGGGAGCATTGAGACACGGTCTCATTGTGCAGCCCTAGGCTGCTCTGGAACTCACGATTTAGACAAGGCTGGCCTTGAACTCATAGAAATTCACCTGCTTTGGTGCGTACCACTAAGCCTGTCTGATAAATGTTTTTCAAACACAGCGCTCTCAGTCAATAATAGCTTCCTGTCATGGCGGTCTCATTGTTTAGAAGGCGCCATGTTGAGAGCTTTGCGGCATAGTTAGCTTAGTGCTCACGACAACCCTGTAAGAAGGCTGTTACCTACCTGCCTTGTGGGCAGTGTTGGCACACACCTTTAATTCCAGCTCTCAAAGCAGAGGCAGATGAATTTCTGAGTTCAAGGCCATCCAGGTCTACAGAGTGAGTTCCAGAATGGCCAGGGCTACACAGAGAAACCCTGTCTCAGGAAAAGGAAAAAAAAAATTATTACTTGCCTCTTCCTGATTAGGAAACTAAACTCGGAACATGTTTTCCTAATGTTTATTTTATTTTTAATTCTATGTACATATGTGTGTGTGTGTGTATGCATACAAGTACAGTTGCCCGTGGAAACCAGAAAAGGGCGTTGGGTCCCTGAAGCTAGATTTACTTGTGGTTGTTAGCCAACCTGATATGGGTGCTGGGAACTAAACTCAGGTCCTCTGCAAGGCCAGAAAATGCCCTTGAACCTCTGATACATCTCTCCAGCCCTAGAAACTATACTCAGAAAAGTGCTTTTTAGAGGAACAATCGAAAGGGTTCAACCAAAGACATGAATAATAAATATGGTTTCTTGTTGGCTGTTTTGACGGTGGCTTGGGATGATATAAATTCTTTTTTTTTTTGGTTTTTTGAGACAGGGTTTCTCTGTGGTTTTGGAGCCTGTCCTGGAACCAGCTCTTGTAGATCAGGCTGGTCTCGAACTCACAGAGATCCGCCTGCCTCTGGCTCCCGAGTGCTGGGATTAAAGGCGTGTGCCACCACCGCCTGGCTCGGGATGATATAAATTCTAAGGAGGTTTTCTACAGGGTCAGCGTATCCTTGGATAGGAATGTTGGGCAAGACAAGAGAATTTTGAAGCTATGTTTACACAACATGTAAAATGACAAAAGTTTTATTTTCCTCTAAGACTGAGACTTTTTGAAAGCCACCAAGTACTGTAGTACTGAATTTCCATCACACTTATGGCAAATTAAATAAAATGCCTGTCCTAAAGCAAGTCCTAAGGATTCACAGGGTCAATGTTGCTACATACCTGTTTCCAGGGGCACACTGTAGCTGGGTAGGCTCTTTCCCGCCTGAGTTTCGGCCACAGCACTGACAGAGAACACGGAACCGCAGGGCAGGCCCCCGATCATGCAGGTCTCCCCTGTGCTGCTACACTGGAACAGCCCCTTCTTCCCCTGGGCGGTCACGGTGTAAGTGGCGCCTTCATTCGTTGATCGCCAGTGCACATTAATCGTGGAGAATGCATCCTTTGAAATATGTTTTATTTCAGGACTGCAAGGAGCTAAGAAGTGTTAGATTATTAATTAAAACACCAGAGTCAAAAATGCTATACATGCCATTGGTTTAAAACGGGCTCCTCTCCTTACCTCCCCTTCCCAGACCCCCTGCACCTCCAGCAACAGACCCCAGGGCTCAGGATATGGTTTAAGTGGTGGAGGGCTTGCCCAGCACGTACCAAGTCCTGGCTTTTATCCCCTGCACTGTATCATCTAGGCTGGCAAGCACACCTAGAACCCCAGCGTTTGGGAGGCAGAGGTAAGAGGATCAGGAGTGCAGGATCGTCCTGGGCTGCACAGTGAGTCTGGCCAACCTGGGCTACATGAGACCCACTTCAAAAAAGAAAAGCACGTTGACGTGGAGCCAGGTGTGATGGTATAATCCCAGTACTTGCAAGCGGAAGCAGGAGGACTGCTGCGAGTTTAAGGCCACCCTAAGTTAAAGGGACCCTATCTAGTAAATAAATAAGTTGGTTTTTTTTTTTAAAGAAAGATCTCCTGGTAGGGGAAGGAATAATCAAGGAAATGACGTAGTGCTAAAATGCAATATTTATTTATTTATTTATTTTGGATTTTTCGAGACAGGGTTTCTGTGTGGTTTTGGAGCCTGTCCTGGAACTAGCTCTTGTAGAACCAGGCTGGCCTCGAACTCACAGAGATCCACCTGCCTCTGCCTCCCTCCCGAGCGCTGGGATTAAAGGCATGCGCCACCACCGCCCGGCGCTAAAATGCATTATGTGTGTATAAAATATTCTTTTGAGAAATCAAAACTATGGTTTTCAGTCATATATGCATATAGGTCAAATTCACAGAACTTTTTTTGCAGAAAAATGTTGGCATAGAGCATTAGGTTCCTGCTGTTTTGTGCTAACTGGAAAATAAAACATTTTGAACTTCAAAATCCAAAATAACCAGGACAAACATCTGCATTCCTCATGATCAGGCAGTCCCCGGTGACAACAGGAACCCGGTGGCTGAGGTCAGTAATCCCTGCCCCAAACTCCCCTCAAGGTGATCCTGTCCCGCCCCCCCCACCCACCACACACACACACACACACACACACACACACACACACTTTCCCTTCTTAACTTTCTTCCCTGCCTCTCCTCAATCCAATGATGGAAGTTAAATCTGGGGTGGATGGGAATTGGGAATGTTCATTTTTCTCCTGAATCCAGGTTTGGGTTCCAATTCCTAGAGCTGTAATTCCAATCCCAGCCCTGGCCTGGGCTGTTGGATAAAAAGCCTCAGGCAATACTTGCCTGAGAGTGGATTTGGATACATGCTTGCAGTGCCTACAGAAGCCAGAAGAGGGCACCAGATCACTGGATCTGGAGCTACGTGAGCTCTTGAGCCTTCTGATGTGGGAGCTGGCAACTGACCTATCCTCTGTAGTAGCAGGAAGACTCTCAACAACCGAGCCACCTCTCCAGCCCCCTCTTGTGTAGGTCTTGCTGAATAGCCCTCCTGAGGCTCACAGCAAGGATGACGGTTTAGACACCGGTGAATGACAGCCGAGTGGTACCGTACCCGTGGTGATGTAGTGTGACGAGCAGGACAGATTGCTGCCCCGGATCTCACTGAAGGAGTACACGGTGATGTTGTACTTAGTGTCACAATCCAAAGCCGAGAGCGTGCAAGCAGGAGCGGTGTCGTTGCACTCCACCACGCTGTACCCAGCTATGGCCTTGGTTTCATAGAGCTCAGCACCGCGCACAGGAGACCAGGCGATTTCCACTCTGTCGCTGGACACCAACACTGCGCTAATGTCGCTAGGACAGCAAGGCGCTGCAAGCAGGAGCCCAGAGGGGGATGTTGAGTCTTGACCGCCCTATGGCCAGTCCTCCTCCACTGCCTGATCAGCTTCCACCTCCATCTCATTCCCACTGCACCTGGGCAGATCCTCGCTGTGACACCCAAGGGCGCATCAGATCAGATCTCCCAGGTCTACACCCGACCTTTGCTCTCACTTCTCTATAGACTTTTGGTCTCTCTGCTAGAAAACCTGATCTCTTCTGCCTGATAAAGTCATACTGAGCCTGAGTCCTCAGCACCTGTCAGTCTGTTAGACCTTAAACCAGATAAAGATGGGGTTTGAGTGTACAGAGATGAAGACTGTACAAGTAGCTCTTAAAGGAGGCCCAAAGAACCCCACTGATGAATATCTTGTCCAGCTAGAGATTTCCCGGTCTTTCCCACCTATATTCCATCCATTCTTGCACTCCTGGTCAAGGCCACTCCTGTGCTCCTTGAGACCTTGTTGACTGCCTCTTCTTCTTTTTTTTTTTTTTTTGTTTTTGTTTTTGGAATTCAGTTCTTTTGACTGCCTCTTCTAAAGTTCCCAAAGCACCAATTATTCAGATCCCTCACCCTGGTAGAATTTATCACAATCCGCCTTTAGAACACTTTACAATTATAATACTCTATAAATAATTCATTTCAAGGCACCCACTCAACTGTTCTCTAAAGCTCTAGTATCTTTCTATGCTACTAGCACTGGGATTAGCATGGACGACAGCAAAATAGATAGAGCACATTCCCTGCCCCCCACCCCGACAGATCCAAGCCAAGGGGAGGAAGATGGCAGTAATGGTCACCAAGCTAACAGATGCTAACAGTGACATAATAATGATGCTAATAAAAATAGTGGCATTCTGCTTTATCACATATAAAGACCTGTCCCCGACCAGTGTTGTTATTGTCTGTCCCATTGTGCTGTGGGGGAAGGATGCTGAGGGAATTTAGGCACAAGTCGTTATCCTACTGTCTAAGTGAGGGAGATGAAGCTTGGACTTCATCTTAGGTGTCCTACTATAGAGCCCTCCACACCACGAAGCATCTGTCATGTCCAGGGAAGGACTGTGATCCTGAAATGGAGGAAACTGTGGCCCCTCAGGGCCTCAAACAGGCCTGAGGTCTGAGTGAGAACTTTGTGGAAGGCTCAGGTTTTCAGGGGAGGGTTGAACGAATGCCTTTCCCCTCCATTCCCATTTCTCAGCCTTGCATTCTGGTTACACTGGGTCTCCAAAGCCAGTTCATTGCTACTCTGGAAAGCACGAGAGACGAGGGCTTTAACGGCTATTCTTGGCCCTCAAACAGCTCCCGGATGGTGAAGTGGTACACACAAGAGGTGTTCATCCTGTTGCTGAGTTTACCGAACGCAGAATCCCCGTTACCAGCATCAACCGCAACTTACCTGTGGTGTAGTTGAACACGTCACCCAGGGGGCTCTGCCCCGCAGTGTTGTAGGCAAATACGCTGATGAAGTACGTGAAGCCGCATTCGGACAGGAAGTGGCACCGAGTGAGGGAGGTATTGCAGTGTACTTCCAGGCCGTCGTCACTCTTCACGAAAGCCACGTAGTATTCACCCAGCTCTACATTAGACCAAGCCACAGACAAGTGACCAGGGGGTGCTTCTTGGATTGTCACTCTTCCAGGTGCACAAGCCACTAGGAAACAATCGGAAAGAAGCAGTCATGTGACCATTGCAGGAGACTTTTCTTTGCATCTTGGCAGTTATCTGAGATGTCAAGACAACCCAGATCAGCAGCTCTGAGTTCTGTAACAGATTGAGTTTGATGCAAAACACGCAGAACCATGTACCAGAAACATTGGGAGATATTTTTGTAGAAACAAAGACTATGCTAAACACCAATGATCTCTCTTAACTCTTTCATTATTATGAATGTTATTTGAAATGCTAGGCCATTGGAAGTGTTTATTTGAACACTTCTGTACTTCTTCTGTACCTCAGGCTTCAGTAAGACTTACTAGATATCCCAAGGATGACCTTGAACTTCTGATCCTCCTGCCTGCATCTCCTAGGTGTCTGGATTACAGATGTGAACCACCACACCAGCTTTTTATGTGCTTCTGGGGGTCAAATCCAGGGCTGTGTGTATGTTAGACAGACACTTTACCAACTAACCTATATCCCCAGCATAGGCCATGGGAGTTTGGGAGTCAACTTAAGATGTGTGGATTTTGTCAGGTGTGTGTGGGAGGGGTATGTGTGCTTTTAATCCCAGTATTTGGGAGGCAGAGGCAGGAAGATCTCTGTGTGTTTGAGGCCAGCCTGTTCTACAGTGTAAGTTCCAGGACAGCTAGGACTATAGAGAGATATCTTGTCTAAGGAAGAAAGTGTGGATTTTCATTTTTAGAATATTTATGGAGAGATTTTGACTTTATTCAGTGATGAAGACTTTTTGATGGGAGCCAAACAGTAAATATCTGTAAGTTATCTTTTTTGAGGTAAAAATAGACCCATTATGTCTTCTGCTAACACCTTCTATTATTTTCACAATAATTACCATTTTACAAGTGAGTAAAATGAAGCCCACAGAGGATAAGTGAGTTGCCCCAGGTAATACAGCTAGAAAGGTAAGGCGTGGTTTGTATAAGCACAGCCCCTATATGCTCATACATTTGAATGCTTAGTCATCAGGAGTGGCACATTTGAGAAGGCTTAGGGGGTGTGGTCTTGTTGGAAGAAGTGTGTCATTGCGGGTGGGATTTGAGGTTTCAAAAGCCCACGCCAGGCCTGGCGGTGGTGGCGCACGCCTTTAATCCCAGCACTTGGGAGGCAGAGGCAGGTGAATCTCTGTGAGTTCGAGACCAGCCTGGTCTATAAGAGCTAATTCCAGGACAGGCTCCAAAACCACAGAGAAACCCTGTCTTGAAAAACCAAAAAAAAAAAAAAAAAAAAAAAAAAAAAAAAAGTCCACACCAGGCCGAGTTCTCTCTCTTGATGTAGCTCTCAGGTACTGCTATAGTACCATGTGTGCCACCAAGTTCCCTGCCATGACGATAGCGAGCTAAGCCTCTGAAACTGTCAGCCAGCCTCCAGTGAAATGTTCTTCTTTGTGAGAGTTGCCATGGTGACGGCGTCTGTGACTAAGACACAGGGGTAACGGGGTCTTTCTGGGGTTTCGTACAAAGCCACGATAGAATGGAGAGTTCTGACCGAAGCCTTCTATGCAGTGGCAGGACACCCCAGAGCCCATTCTGTCTCCAGAGAACATCCCGTGCAGATAGTTAAAATGCTAGATGCTCAGACAAGTTCCAACGCAAACGCTAAGCACAACTTGGTACAAACCAAGGAGATGTGCTCAGATGCACTCAATTTTTATTTCACATGATGCTACACTCTTTCTTCCAGAAACGGATCTCCTTGACTAATGTTGCTTGGGTTTTTCTGTCAAGGCAATAGTTCTTTTATCTAAGACCAGCAAGGACTGAAGTCTTGTGAAGGAATGATTTCAAGTGAAGGCCATCCATCCAATCCACAAGCTCTTAAAAGTTTTGTCATCTCTAAATAAGTCCTATAGACCTAATTAGCTAGAGTTCACATTTTGGGGCCCTAGGAAACTAAAATCCTTTCTAAACATCCTTTCTTCTGTTGATAACTCAAGGTTTTCTCATGATCAGTACTGATTATGTCATATCCACACTACAGTGGTAACTCCTGGACCAGTAAGGGCAGGACCTGAAAGTTGGAAGGACTCTTTCGGCAGCACTTAACACCACCAACATGTTGAAAATCAATTGGAGAGCTTTTAAAGAGTATTCTATTGAGACTCTATTCCCAGAAATCCCAATTTAACTGGTCCTGGTGGGACCTGGGTATTTAGATTTTATGAGCATCCCCGAGATGTTTTTGTTATGCACCTGAATTTAAAAACGCAGGATGGTTCTTCCCTGTATTACACTTCTCACTCAGAATGCCTGTGTCATTGAAGTGTTCATCTCTCCCTTCACCCTCGGCCGCTGTCTTCAGGGTCACTTTTTCCGTACCTGCTTAATGAACTTGTAATTGTCAAAAGAAGTCTAATCACCTAACTTGTGTTGGTGCCCTTAGTTTAACGTAACTCTAAGAAGTTGTGGATCTGAGGGTTTGACTGTGTTTCTCCCCTTGAGGAAGAGAGGACATCAGTTTGGGGGAGCTCCAGTCCTCTGTACAGGGTCCTTTTCTCCTTACAGAGACATAGTTCTGATCGTTGAATAGAGTGGACATTGTTACATTGTCTTCAGCCCAGAGGATGGAGGTCAGGCAAGCGTGAGCACAGATCTCGGCTGCACCGGAGGAAAACAGCCTTCAGTGTCTCTGAGCTTCAGCTTCATATCTAAAAGAAAGAGCCAGGCCAGACCTGGGGGTGCATGCCTGTGATTGCAGCACTTGGGAGATGGAAGCTGGAGGGTCAGAAGTGCAAGGCCAGACTCAGCTGCGGAAGGGACTCTGAAGCCAGCCTGAGCTTTGCTAGACCCTGATTCCAACAAATAGGCAAAACATAGCAAAAAGAGGAGACGACTCACAAAATTATCCTGAGACTTAAGGAGTGGAATCATGGTGCCTGAGATTTAGTAGATCCCACTAAATGTTAGCTCCACCTCCCAGACCTCCATGTTTGTGTCTTTGCATTTCCACCAAGAATAAAACTCGGGAAATGCTGAAACACATTTAGAGCTAGAAATTTCCCATCTTTAGTTTTAAGAAGAGCTACTACCAAGTCTTAATTGTGAAACATGTCAAGAAGAGACAGGGACTGGGGAGATGGTTCTCTCTTCAGCCATGAGGACCCAAGTTGGAATCCCTAGAATCGCACAACATCTGAGCATGGCTGCACATGTGTGTGAGCCCAGCATCTGTAGATGGAGACAGGAAGATCTTCCAGACTCGCTGAAGTTCAGTGAGAGACGGCTGAGTCCTTGCCAAGGCCAGAAGGCAAGACTGATGGGGAGGATACTGGACGTCTTGCTCTGGCCTCCGTGAGCACACATGTGGCCGCCAGCATCCTCACGTGTACATCCGTGCACACACATACCACACATGCACTGACACACATGAAGGACCAGTTAGTTTCTGTAAATAAAAACTGGATCTTAGAATTTTCAAAACTTTTAAAAATTAAAACGGCAAGCAGTTACAACGATGACCACCTTGGCCCCAGCTGTCGTAGGAGGCTCTCTTGAGCCCTGGAATTCCAGATCAGCCTGGATAGCAAGGCCAGACCTTGTCTCAAACAGTAAAATAAAATAGCATCTAAAGAAATCAGAGAAAGATGAAAAAGAAAAAGAATGAGGGGCTGGAGAGATGACTCAGCAGTTAAGAGCACTGGCTGCTCTTCCAGAGGACCCGGGTTCAATTCTCAACACCCACATGGCAGCTCACAACTGTCTGTAACTCCAGTTACGGAGGCTCCAACACCCTCACACAAACATACATGTAGGGAAGACACCAATGCACATAAAATAAATACATTTTTTAAAAAGGAAAAAGAGCCGGGCGGTGGTGGTGCACACCTTTAATCCTAGCACTCGGGAGGCAGAGGCAGGCAGATCTCTGTGAGTTCGAGGCCAGCCTGGTCTACAAGAGCTAGTTCCAGGACAGGCTCCAAAGCTACAGAGAAATCCTGTCTTAAAAAACAAAAGCAAAACAAAAAAAGGAAAAAGAACAAAAGACAGGAATAGAGGCCAAGCCCATGAGTAGTCAGAGATGTACTGTTTAGCAATCTATGATACATGCTTTCATATAGTCACCGAAATCCCCAGCTCAATCTCAATACTTTCATTTAGACCAGGGTTAGCTTTCCTTTTTCTTTTTTAAAAAGGTTATTATTATTATTATTATTATTATTATTATTATTATTATATTGTGTGTGTAATGTGCTGGGGGAGGATACCTCAGCATGAATGTGGAAGGCAGACCCAACTTTGTGGAGCTGGCCTCTTTATACCTCTGTGTGGGTTCCTGGATTGAACTCAGGTTTGTGCAGAAAGCATTTTTACTCACTGAGCCATCCTAACAGCCTCTCTTTTCTTTTCTTTCAGACAAGGTCTTGCTAGGCAGCCCCGGCTGGTTTAGTACTCAGTACGTAGCCCAGACTGACCTCAAACTCGCGGCAGTCCTCCTGCTTCAGCCTCCCAAATGTTGGGATTACAAATATGACTAGACTTGGTTTGTCACTGCCTCCAGAAGATCTTAGAAGTTTGCTGGGGATTTCTGTTCCCCGCATGCAGCCACTCTGATCGCCAGCCCTGCAGAGCTTTCGATCTTTCTCACGTACCAGTTTTCAGGGTCCCGGCAGAGGAGGACCAGCTGGAGCCAGCATCATTGCTGGCTGAGACAGAAATCAGGTACTCGGTTCCGCACTGCAGGGAACTGAGGCTGCAAGAACTGAGAGCCGTGCTGCAGCTCCGCTGGGAAGACTCGCTGGACGCCAACACAGTGTAGTTGAACGCTCCTTCTGTTGGTGTCCAGGAAACAGATGCCTTCAAGGCCCCGCTGTCAAAGAGGACTTGAACGTTGGCAGGGGCGCGAGGACCTGTGTTTTTGAGAAACAAGAACCCGTGTAAGATTTAGCTTAGTAATATTGAGGTCTTCAGGAGATACGAGACCCTAGTAGCTAGAGAACATTAAGTTGTTCAAAGCATAAAATTGGGACTTAGTGTATCTGGGAATTGGCAACGTAATGGCCATTACTGTGCAAAATCATTCTGAGCTATGCAACCTTGGTCATATTACTTAATCTTTTTTTTTCGTTTGTAAAAATTGATATAAGAGCACTATTTAACCTATAACTGACATTTAAAAGCATACTTTGAATGCATGAATATACTACCTAACAAGTGGTGAAGAATAACATTGGAGAAGCCTAGGATGATGGTATAATTCCAGCCCTTGGGATGCAGAAGGAGGAACATTGGAAGCTCATGCCTGCCTGTGCTACATAGCGAGACTCTGTGTCAAAAAGACCAAGCAACCAACCGAACAAGAACAAAATGAGTTTATATATGTGAGTTTGTTATCACATGGCAGGTCAAATGCACACACACACACACACACACACACACACTCCCTTATTCTCCAGTCTGGCATTTATTTTACACACACACACACACACACACACACACACTCCCTTATTCTCCAGTCTGGCATTTATTTTGCACACACACACACACACACACACACACACTCCCTTATTCTCCAGTCTGGCATTTATTTTGCACACACACACACACACACACACACACACACACACACGCGCGCGCGCTCCCTTGCTCCCTGATTCTCCAGTCTCGCTCTAGCAGTTGAATTTGGACTTCCGGCGCTTAGGAGCACCCCCCCCCCCCCGGTGTTCCCAGGATGGGAGGGTGCTGACGTGTTGGGGAACTATGTCTGAAACACACTCTCATGTCAAGTATGGGCACAGCAGAACTCTTTCTGTGACTGTGCCCGGAACAGCGCGGTATTCAGGTTGGCGCACACTCACTAAATGTCTGGAATGAATGAATTCCTGTTCCTTCTTGTTTAGACTGTTGGTTTGAATGCAGGAGGGAAAGAAGCAGGGAATATTTTAGTTGACCCAACAAGACCAGGAATGCACAAGGAAGGATTGGTCAACCTAACAAGAGCCCGCCCCTTCTGCGATTTGGAATTTGCATGCGCCAGCGGACTTGACTAGCAGAGGGGGAAGTGCGGCGCTCCCCGTCGCTGGGCAAGCGTTTGAACCGCTGCCAAGGAATAGTCAAGGCACTATAAATAACTTCATAATAAATTTAAACAGCTGTAGCCAGCTGCTCCGTACTCATCACTTTGCAGTGATCTCCACGACTGCGATACGCAGCCCCCTCGTTAATCAAAACCGAGATTGTTCAGAGCTGAGGCGTCCTTACTGGTTCTCTGGTTGCAGGTGGAGTCGTCTCCAGGGACTCCATTGGCATTCCAGGCGTAGGCCTTTATAGTATAGAGAGTCCCAGCATCCAAGCTGCTGAAGGTCAAGGAGGTGTTTGTAGTATTCTCCTTCCAAATTCTCCCCAAGCCATTGGCTCGCATGACAGACACAGAGAAGCCGATTGCCATATAGACGGCATCCCACCTCACAAGGATGGAGTCTGGACTTGGAGAACCAACTTCCAGAACGGGGGCCGCCAAGACTGTTAGTAAAAACAAAATGAAACCATGAATGCGTTTTATAGAATTCTGTAGAGGATAATTCAGATTATCGAGGAATAAATAAATGCAGGCGGATTCTCTCTATTATTCATATTATAACGGCAGAGTTCATTTAATAATTGCTCAATGGATCTGAGAATGCAGCCCAGTGGCAGAGGGCTTGTCTGTGGTCCACTCCACAGTGCGACTTTTAGGAAAGCTATTTAAGTCTATACTAGTAAGAAATGATTTGGCAGGAAATGTGGACTCTCAAGTCAGGAGTGGTGGTGCACATTTATAATTCCAGCAGTCAGGAAGCTGAGACAGGAGAATTGCTTTGAGTTTAAGGCTAGGTTAGGCAACCCTGTCTCAAAAAAATCTGAGGTACAAAGACACTAGAAAACACCAGGCAATACTTACAACTTGCAGTTGATCAGAGGTTAGATAGAGTATCCATATAAATTAATACAGAAAATAATTATTTTTTGTGGGTGTTTTACTCCTTTGGCTTTTTGAGGGGCCCACAACAGCTCCCAAATCACACACGGAGGCTTATTCTTTTTTTTAAAAGACATTATATATATTTATTTATTTTTAAATATTTATTTATTTATTTATTTATTATGTATACAATATTCTGTCTGTGTGTATGCCTGTAGGCCAGAAGAGGGCATCAGATCTCATTACAGATGGTTGTGAGCCACCATGTGGTTGCTGGGAATTGAACTCAGGACCTTTGGAAGAGCAGGCAATGCTCTTAACCTCTGAGCCATCTCTCCAGCCCCCGGAGGCTTATTCTTTTTTTTTTTTTTTTTTTTTTTTTTTTTTTGGTTTTTCGAGACAGGGTTTCTCTGTGGTTTTGGAGCCTGTCCTGGAACTAGCTCTTGTAGACCAGGCTGGTCTCGAACTCACAGAGATCCGCCTGCCTCTGCCTCCTGAGTGCTGGGATTAAAGGCGTGCGCCACCACCTCCCGGCCCGGAGGCTTATTCTTAATTATAAATGCCTGACCTTTCTTGGTTTGTTGCTACCCAGCTTTTCTTAACTTGAATTATCTCAACTGCTTTTTGCCTCTGAATGTGGTTTTTTTGTTGTTGTTTTTTTTTTTTGTTTGTTTTTTACGTCTTACTTTCCTTCTTACTCCACAGATGGCTGGATGATTGGCCCCTGACATCACACTCTCTTTGTTCTCTTCCTCAGTTCCCCTTCTGTTCATACTCTCTGAATACCAGCCCCGCCTATCCTTGCTCCTGCCTCGCTATTGGGCGTTCAGCTCTTTATTAGACCATCAGGTGTTTTAGACAGGCAAAGAACCACAGCTTCACAGAGTTAAACAAATGCAGCATAAACAGAAGCCATACACCTGAAAATAACAGTCCTCAGCAGTTTATACTGCTTTAGTATGCAAATTACTTTTATTTTTTAATGCTGAGTGAACTCTGAGCCCGTGCACATCAGGCCAGCACTCTAGCATGGAACTACACACCAGGCCCTGCACAGAGCTGTTCACAAATATGCCCAGGTGTAACTTTGGGAAGTAAACTGAATGCTGACGGCAAATCCCCAAACTTTTATTTAATGCATCTGCCACATGCTCAGTGTGCCACAAAATCTGTTCTGTTCCCTACTTGGCGTGGGTAAAAACAGAAATCGCTTTTTCAGGGATTTAAGAGCATTCTACTTTTAAAGTTGCCCAGAAATGGGCTTTAAATCCCGAAGCAAAGTACTAGACATCTAAATGTCACCTTCTCCACAGATTGCTGAGTTGCAATAACAAAAACAAATGAACAAACAAAAGATGGTGGCTTTGGCCTCTGGGCCGTGCATTGTGGAACTCACGTGTGCACACAACACACAACACATTTGCGGTGCTGTTAAAACTGATCTGGGTCACAAGCAAACACTCCAGACAGCATGAGCATCTGGTTAGCTACCTGTCTTCGCCTGCTTTGGAGATGACGCCTGGCTTTGTCCAGAGGCACTGATGGATCTGATGGTGATTCGGTACAAGGTCGCAGCCTTCAAGCCTGTCACAGTGCCTGGGGAACTGGCCACCGTGGTCTCAATGACTGTGTCCCCATCTTCAGCTGTGAGCAGGTAACTTGTGGCCCCTGGCACAGCAGTCCACTCTACAGTGATGCTATTGCTGAGTTTTGAATATGCCTGATCAATAGTTGGTATTTCAGGCGCTGAAAGAAGTTATGAAGTTGTGCGTTAGCCAGGATATCCTACAAGGATGACACTCTTCGCCTCTTCCTCCCTCACCTACATTATTCTGATGTCTTCCCATGAACGTAAGCTTTGCTTCATTTTCCAGAAAAAAAAGGAATCTGGGTGTGGTAGTGCACACCCGTGGTCTAGCTACATAAGAGGTGGAGGCAGGAGGACGAAATGAAGGCCAGTCTGGATAACTTAACAAGACTCTGTCTCAAAATTTAAAATAATGATGATTATGATTATAATAGGTATTAGGATGTAGTTCAGTGGTGGAACACTTGCCTACCATACATTAAGCCCCTGGACCTAATGTCCAATATCACAAAGTAGAAAGAAAAGAACAGAGGGGCTGATGCCAGGGCCCAGAAGGCTTGCCAACAAACCTGACTAGCAAGTTTGATCCCTGGGATCCATGTGTTAGAGCTGAGAACTGACATTTAAAGTCTGCTAACCTCTACATGGGCATTGTAACACACAGGTGCCCACACCACACAGAGCATGCATGCATACTACATACATGCATATCACACACACAGAGAACATGCATACACCACACACATACACAGAGGCATGCATACACCACACACACACACACATACCACACAGACATGCACACCACACACACACTCATACTACATACACACACACAGAGGCATGCACACACACCACACACAGGCACAACACACACAGATACACCACATACACACACGCAGGCACACATGCACAAATAAGTAAATGTAATTTTTAAAATACAAAAAAAAAAGAGTAGAAAGTGACAAAGAAGGGGGGGGGGAGTCTAGGGGGAACAACTGTTTGCAAAAGCCAGCCAGAGCACAACCGTCACTGGCCAGCTGCCTGGGGGCCACTTGTACTTTCTATGCTTTTAAGTAAGTTGAGTGTGAGTGGAAAGAGGTTGTGGGAAAGAGCTTTGAGAAGGGGCAGAAGATAATGGAGGGGCTTTATTCCAGAGGGTTCCACTCTGGTTTGGTATTCTGTGAGTTTCCAAGGCTGCTTTGTCATGGCTGTCCTTCCCTGCCCCCACACAGGCAGCACTGCTGCCAGCTGGGCCCTCCATGGCCACCTCTCTGCCTGTGGTCGCTTTCTAATGAGTCTGCACATTTCCCAGTGGGCTCTAACCTAACAGAGGAAGGAGGAGAACCGAGTGCTTTGTTACTCTCGGGGCAGAACAATTTTCAGGTTCTTCTATATATTCTTCCTTTGCCTTTCAAAATATAGGCCTCAGTGTTAAGTCTTGATACCGAAGCCTTCGGGGGCTGTCTGCAGTTCACCATGGGAATGGGAATGTTTATGTCATGAGCATGCATGCAGGAGAGCCCTCTGCGTCCAATACAGGATGGAACATGCAGTGTGAGACTCAGATGTACCGCTTCAGAACACCCGCAGACACACACACACACACACACACACACACACACACACACACACACAATGTCCTGTGTCTTGTAAGAGATCCAAGCAGAAGAGCTCAACAAATGTATGTTGTGTTTTAATTCTGAAACTGGCTCTCCGCCTGTCAATGTTAATGTATTCTATTTGTTGAACACAGTCACCCTATGCCAAACTCACAGCTGAAGGGCAAGCCAGCCATGGCGGTGCATGTTTGTGACCCAGCACTTGGGAGGTTGAGGCAGGAGGATCTCAAGACTGAGGCCCAACTGGGCTACATAGACCCTATCTCAAACAAATAACGAAAGAAACAAACCACCACAACAAACCAAAGCCAGGTACAGCATGCAAGCCTGCAATTCCATCATGGGAGGGGGTGGTGGTGGTGGTGGTGGGGTCCTCCTCAACTAAATAAAGGGCTGGAGGAGGTCAGTCTATTTACAACCCTATCTCAAAAACAGCCACCCAAGAAATCCAGAACTTGTCAATCGGCCAACCAACCTCCCCAAACCAACCACATAAAGAGATTAGGTGAAAACCTACAAGGCAAGAAGACAGAATAAAAGCCCAGTGGTTTGCCAGCATCAACTCTTCTTGGCTTCCCTTCAGCCGAACCCCTAGGTACACAATACAGACAACCTTCTCTTTCTGTCTCTGTAGTCAAGAGAGCTCATGTTGGCAGTCTCTCAGAAATACCCAGGCTGCAAAAATGAACAAAGTCTCCAGTGTTCTTTGGCCAGACACTTCTGGAACACCATCCAGGAGTATCTCTGTCACAGAAAGAAAATTATGCTGCTCATATATGCTGGGGAAGGGTGGGGGCCTGGTGGCCTTTTGCCAGTGAAGCTGATTCTGCAGGAAGAGTGGATGCCCCTTCTGGCCCCTCAGAACAAAAAGACCCAGTAGGGCCCTCCTCTCCCAACCCCTATCTCTCATCTGCACGCCCTCCCACCCCACCTCCAGGAGTCATTTCCCTGCGGTCTGTGCCTCCTTTCTTCTCATTTTCTGGTGTCTCTCAACGCCTTCTGTTTCCTCTGCCCTCCAGTTTATCTTAGTGCCTGTGACAGACAGGCCTGCTGGTTGGAACAGACAAACTCCCTGGGAGAGTGACCAGCTGCAGACATAGACGGCCCGAGGCTGCACTCTGGAGAAGAGCTCCAAGGCCAGCATGCACAGACAAGTGTCCCACAGGCGGCCATACTGCCTGAGGCCTCCACATTGTCCCCCAGCGAGCCGAGCAATGAAGGAGTCCCCATAGGAAGCGCTATCAGCAGAGTGAGAACCAGGGTCGGAAAAACAGCAAAGAATTTGGACGCAGGAGTTCTAGGTTTAAGGCCTGGCTCTGTTTTGTACTTCTGTGTCTGAGTAACCGTGAGACATTTAAGGTCTTTTAGTGTAAGTTTCCTCCTTTGAGAAAAGAGGGCGACTCAACAGTATCTATGCTTTAGGAATTACGAATTACTTGGAAATGTGTAAAATGCCTATAATTTATGATTATTTAAAGATTAAATAAAAGTATATGTAAAGGTACTTTGAGAGTGTCATACCCCACTGTGGGTATGTGTGTGTGTGTGTCTGTCTGTCTGTCTGTCTGCCAAGGTAAGCAAGTGTGGATGAGTTTGGAAAAGCCAGATCATACTGTATAGCCATGGGAGGGTTCCAGTGAAAGTAAGATCCTGAGGTGTCTGGGGTGAACACAGGCAGGAGAGAGACAGAGACGACAGACAGACAGACAGACAGACAGACAGACAGACAGACAGACAAAGACAGAGAGACAGAGTATGCCTGATGCACAGTTGGCTCTCAGGAGATTAACTAGTGCCAGTCACAAAAGCAAATCAACTGAACCCTCTAGAGCAGCGGTTCTCCGCCTTCCTATTGCTGTGACCTTTAAACACAGTTCCTCAGGTTGTAGTGGCCTCAACCATAACATTATTTTCATTGCTACTTCATAACTGTAATTATGCTACTGTTCTGAATCATGATGCAAATGTCTGTGTTTTCTAATAGTCTTAGGCGATCCCTGTGAAAGTCATTCGACCCCCACCCCAAGGGTCACAACCTGCAGGTTGAGAGCCTCTGCTCTAGGGGATCTAGCAGAATCCCTGTGTTCACGGGGGAAAGGCATCGTGGATGCTCTGAATGGCAGCATTTGCGTCTACCAACGCCTGGTGAGCCTGATGTCAGGAGCAAGTGTGATCATCTGCTGTAGTGCACATGAGCCTGGGTGCTCAGTTCTAGTGCGGTAGAATGAGACAGGGGGTGGGGGAGGACACCAGACTTTGGGGACATTTTTCTCATGAGAGGGATGGACTGGTAGGTAGATCTTGTGCTATGACAGATTTCAGCAGACCTTCAAAGAACAGAAGAAGCAAAGCAGCTGTTGAGCCTCTGGGGATGTGGCTCAGATGGTAGAGTGCTCCCCTAGCATGGTGGGATGTGGTTCAGTTGGTAGAGTGCTCCCCTAGCAGGGTGGGGATGTGGCTCAGATGGCAGAGTGCTCCCCTAGTTGCTGGGATGTGGCTCAGGTGGTAGAGAGCTCCCCTAGCATGGTGGGGATGTGGCTCAGATGGCAGAGTGCTCCCCTAGCATGCTGGGATGTGGCTCAGATGGCAGAGTGCTCCCCTAGCATGCTGGGATGTGGCTCAGATGGTAGAGAGCTCACCTAGCATGCTGGGATGTGGCTCAGATGGTAGAGAGCTCCCCTAGCATGGTGGGGATGTGGCTCAGATGGCAGAGTGCTCCCCTAGATGCTGGGATGTGGCTCAGATGGCAGAGTGCTCACCTAGCATGCTGGGATGTGGCTCAGATGGTAGAGAGCTCACCTAGCATGCTGGGATGTGGCTCAGATGGTAGAGAGCTCACCTAGCATGCTGGGATGTGGCTCAGATGGTAGAGAGCTCACCTAGCATGCTGGGGATGTGGCTCAGATGGCAGAGTGCTCCCCTAGCATGCTGGGATGTGGCTCAGATGGTAGAGAGCTCCCCTAGCGTGGTGGGGATGTGGCTCAGATGGCAGAGTGCTCCCCTAGCTGCTGGGATGTGGCTCAGATGGCAAAGTGCTCCCCTAGCATGCTGGGATGTGGCTCAGATGGTAGAGAGCTCCCTTAGCATGCTGGGATGTGGCTCAGATGGTAGAGAGCTCGCCTAGCACGCACAGAGCTTTTGTTTCATCCCCAGCACTCATAAACACAGTGTACGCCTATAATTTAAGCACTTAGGAGGCAGAAGTAGGAGATTGCAAGTTCAAGGTCATCTTTGACTCTACGGTGCATTTTAGGCTAGTCTGAGGGACATAAGACCTTGCCATAAAATAAAGTAAATGCAGGACTTTGGGAAGATAGAGCCTGAAAAGGGACAGTTGAAGGGGACGAAGCTGATTCCAAGGAAGCAGACACATCTATTGACAGTTTCTCTTTTGAGAACAGAGAGCATCTATTTCTTGACAGTAAGAGGCCTGGAGATGGAATGAAAGCTCTCACACAGGCTAAGCAAGCTTCTGTAACTGAGCTTACCACCCCAAGCTAAATGATGATTAAATTCTATTATCATTTAATAATAACATGAGGTTTTTTTGTTTTGTTTGTGTTCCCCCTCCTCCTTCCCCCTTCTCTCTCTCTCTCTCTCTCTCTCTCTCTCTCTCTCTCTGTCTCCCTCTCTCTTTTGTTTTTTGAGACAGGGTTTCTCTGTATAACAGCCCTGACTGACCTGGAACTCACTCTGTAGAGTGTCTGTCTGTCTGTCTGCCAAGGTAAGCAAGTGTGGATGAGTTTGGAAAAGCCAGATCATACAGTATAGCCATGGGAGGGTTCCAGTGAAAGTCAGGTCCTGAGGTGTCTGGGTGAACACAAGGCTGCTCTCCAACTCACAGAGATCCTCCAGCCTTGGCCTCCTTGAGTGCTGGGACGAAAGTTGAGTTCACCACAGCCGGCTGTTTGTTTACAAGACAGGATTTCTCTATGTAGCCCCCTAGCTGTCCCTGTCCTGGAACTCACTCTGTAGACCAGGCTGGCCTCCACTCAGAGATCCACCTGCCTGTGCCTCCCGAGTGCTGAGATTAAAGGTGTGAGTTACACCGCCAGGCCCAGCTTTAATAATGTTGTATTTATCAGTATTAAAAGCTGGGGAAGAATGAGAGAAATAATGAGTCCTATGCTCCCCACTCTCTCAATCCAAGAGAGAGAGAGAGAGAGAGAGCGAGCTGAGAAGTAGGCACTTCTCATGTTGATGAAAGGGAAGTCTTAATTCCCTAGGTGTGCATACAGCCACACTGATGCATCCAAAATGAAACCTTTGATTCTCAGCATCTGTGATTTTGACCAACTCAGAGAATCTAAATTAGCTCAAAGTCCTCAGAGCCCAGGCACAGATCAACAGCAATGCCAAAGCCCAAATAGAATCAAATACACACACCCAAGATGAAGCCTTCTACGCAGTATAAATCAGACACAGTCCGACTATTGAAAAACCAAGAGGAACCTGTTAACAGCATCACTGGCATTGAAATCTGGTCATCCTGATTTCTCTCCAATGGGACGGGTCATGTTGGGACTAAAAGGAGTCTGTCCTAGGGTCTCAGTGGTTCCTGGGACTTTGTAAGGCACAGTGAAGTTGGCTATACAAGGGGCAGATATTTATTTTTTGATCACTTATAAACCAAGCAGAGTAGTGTGTGTATGTAGTGTCGGCTTCTCAGGTGACTGAGGCAGGATTACTAAAGCCTAGGAAATCAAAGCCAGGCTGATCAACAGAGGGATGCATCTCAAATGAAGTAAATAAAACCAATAGTAAAAAAATTTACAAAATTAGTAATATGATTATACACTCTTTCTCATAGCTTCCTGTACAATCATGAAGGTCTCTCAAGAGTAATATAATAACGATGGGCTGGAGAGATGGCTCAGCAGTGAAGAGCCCTGACTGCTTTGTCAGAGGACTCAGGTTCAATCCCCAGTACTCACACGGTGGTTCACAACCATCTGTAACTCCAGTCCCAGGGGACCCAACATCCTCTTCTGGCTTTGTCGGGCACCATGTATGCATGTAATACATGGGCACATACATGCAGACAACACACCCACCCACATAAACAAATTTAATTTTTTTAAAGAGTAACGTAACGATTAAAAATAAAGGAAATGATTTTTTAAAAGTCAACTGCATAGCTGGATGTGGTGGTCCACACCTTTAATCCCAGCACTAGGGAGGCAGAGACAGGCAGATCTCTGAATTCGAGGGCAGCCTGATCTACAGAGTGAGTTCCCAGACAGCCAAGACTACACAGAGAAATCCTGTCTGGAGAAAACAAAAGAACAAAAACCAAACAAAACGACAACTGTATGGGTATGGATTTTATGAGCTATTAAAATGCAGCCATCTATTCAATGTAAAAATTCCTAATTATTCTTCCTTTTTTTATGATGTTGGCAAATAATAAAAGTTGTTCCCATGTGTATTGAATCACTGTGCGAGCTTATCTCTAAGAGAACTGATTGTATATGTGTTTGCAGATAATTTAAAGCCTATTAAAGATAAATTCCTATCCTGTGAACTTAGATTTCTAGATGTATAAGGCATGAAAATTTTCTAGAAAAATTAAAGTGGCCTCCGGCCATTTATTCAAGAAAAAAATAGTGATTGAAATATTTTTTAAATAAGGAAACCTTTTACAGTTCTGAATCATATTACTGTGTTGATCTCAGGAAAAGGCTAGATGTGCGAAGCTTCCTCTCTGTCTCTGTCTCGCTCTGGTTTGCTTTTAGTTTTTTGCTTTTTTGAGACAGAATCTCCTGAACCATATTTTTATGTAGCCAAAGGTAACCTTGAACATCTGAATGTCCTGCCTCCACCTTCTAAGTCCTGGGATTACAAGTGTGCACCACCGCACCTGAGCCAGCATTTCTGTTTTTTCCTTCTAATGTCCCAAAAAGAAGTAGGAAAGTTATATAAGGAGATTGTCTGTGGTGCAATTTTAATTTTTGACTGGCAGTGATCCCTGCAATAGTTTGTCCACAGCCAAATGAATGGGAAATTCGGAGCTGTAGTACAGTTCTCACTAGCAATACCTTCAAAGGACTTATTTTGTAAATATAGCCCAGTTGATTTGTTTTACTAATTCTGGTCTTCCCCCAGCACCTTTTTCAGTGGTGTTAGCACCGGGTATGCATGCTCAGAAAATGTTGATACTAGCCCTCTGGGATGGTCTTTCTGCATGAGGCTAGACCAATCGACAGTGGATATTAAAATCAAATATAAAGAGAAAACTTGCATGTCAGAAATTGTTACCTGTTTTGGATGAAGTAACCTGAAAAGGAAAATTTAGAAAGTTAGAAGAATAAGGGAAAACAGCATTTGGGGAAACGAAACGAACACATTGACCGGAACACAGCAATCGCAATGTTTATGTACACAGTAAGTAACTCTCCTGTTCACCTGAGAGCTTTTCTGTTGAGCTCATTTCCCAGTGATCAGATCTACCATAAGGCACAGCTGAAAATGACACAGAGGCTGGATACCGTGTTATTATTTCCTTTTCCCCTTGAATCTGCCCAAGTCAGAAACTGCTGACGGATTTTTTTTTTTTCAGGAGTCTTTGTTCTTTGAACACAATGGTAGTCTTGTCTCCTTCCTTTAGTACAACACATTAGTTCTCAAACACAAAAATGTACCGTCTTCGTATGATTTAAAGGTATATCTGGTTATATCTTCCTACTCCTCAGCCCTTCATAAAGAGAGACAGATGGTATCTTCTCCCGCAAACTTAACTGTAGGTAGCCAAGGAGGCAGACTCACCATTTGCAGACAGAGGAGAGCGAATCCCATCAAAGAGGAACACTTCTCAAGTCTCCCAGCCATCCTGTTAGACACAGCGCTCACATAGCATAAACTGTGATCTGGCTCCTCTTTGGCTCCCAGAAGCACAGCACTGAAGGTCGCAGGGCTGTGGGGCTGGCAACACTGGGAACAGACTCTGGAAGTCTCTCTGTGTGTAGGGCTCACCTGTAATGAGAGACACTGGGACTGGCAGGAACAGGTACTGACTGCAAAGACCGAAAAAAAGAGCCTGAGGAAGCAATGCCAGGAGGGCCAAAGAAGCTCCTGTAACCTTAGTTTCAAGGAACTATGTACAATGCTCTCCTTTTAATAAATTTTACTCTGGTTATAGTGGTTCAAGCCTTTACTCCCAGCACTCAGCAGGCAGAGGCGTGTGGATCTCTGTGAGTTCAAGGCCAGCCTAGTCTACATCGTGAGTTCGAGAACAGCCAGAAGCCTGTCTCCAAAAAACAAGAATAAATGTACAGAGCTGTAGAGAAACTGCTGATACGGTGACTGATTTTAAGCTCAGGATTCCTGTCTCATTTTTCTGCTTTAGTTGATGTTAGTGTGTTAGATTGTGGATATATTAGTCATCTTTTTGCCATTATGGCCAAAAGACCTGACATAAACAGTTTAAGAGCGAGAAGGATGGTTCTGGCTCACGGTCTCAGAGAGATCAGTTTAGCTCCATCTGCTAGGGAAGGACATTCCGAAGTCCTCAATGACATGGTTTGAGGCCAGCCTGAACGACGTGAGACACTGTCTTAAAACAAACACACAAACACAAACAAACAAGACTTTGGTCTGCAGAGATGGGTTAGCAGCTGTTGGGGACTGTGGACCACCAAACCCTGAATTTCTTGTAAACATCTTGTTTCCTCTGCTCCGAGCAGCCTGCAGCTGCTCTGAGCACGAGACCCCGATGACAGGCTGGTGGGTCTGCAGCTGAAAGATCCCGAGAGCTGGAGCGTGGCCAGAGCCCTATAGAAACTGTCCCTGAGCACAATAAAGTGGGCATTCTTGTCTCAAGGATGTCCCCATGGTCCCGTCTGTCTGTCTGTCTGTCTGTCTGTCTCTGTCTGTGTTTGTGTGTTTTTAAATCTTCTGCCTAGTTCCCATAGCACAGAACATGTAGATTGCGGAATGGAACCGGTGTAGTTTTACAAGCAGTTAAGAGCACTGGCTGCTCTTGCAAAGGACCTAGGTTCAGTTCCCAGCACCCACATGGCAGCTGACAAAACACCCAAGTTTCAGGGCATTGTGTGTCATCTTCTGGCTGTGGGCACCAGGCACACGCAGGGAACACACATGCGGGCAAAATATCCATGCACATAATTTGAATTAAAAATAAAAGTTTTAAAGACTAAAAACACATAACTAAATGGACTCAAGCCAGATGTGAGGGCATTCATTTTTAGTCTCAGCTACTCAGAAGGCAGAAGCATCTATTGAGTCCATGAGTTTGAGACCAGCCTGGGAAACATAGTAGGACTCCCCAAAATTATTTATTTATTTATTTATTTATTTATTTATTTATTTATTATGCATACAATAGTCTGTCTGTATGTCTGCAGGCCAGAAGAGGGCACCAGACCTCATTACAGATGGTTGTGAGCTACCATGTGGTTGCTGGGAATTGAACTCAGGACCTTTGGAAGAGCAGGCAATGCTCTTAACCACTGAGCCATCTCTCCAGCCCGGACTCCCCAAAATTATTACTCTATTAATCAAAGTAGACTCAAAACCTTAAAAATATATCAGGAACGACAAAATGTGTAGAAGGAAATATTTATGATCTTGAAAAGGAAAATATTTACTTTCTTTTTTAAAAATTGTGTGTGTGTGTGAGCACAGGTGTGTACTACTCTCAACACCCGATAAGAGAACAACTGAGGGCTGGTGAGCTCAGCAGTTAGAGCCTCTTGCCAGGAAGCCTGATTGCCAGAGCTGGCTCTCCAGAACCCATGTAAAGGTGAGAGAAGAAAAGCAGCTCCACAAAGCTGTTGTCCGGTTGCCACGCATAGGCCATGGCAAGCATGGGGTCCAGGAGGCTTTCTATTGTTGTAATAAACACCATGATCAAAGGTAACTCGGGGAGGTTACAGTCCCACACGACTGTGTCTCATCAAGGGAGGCCAAGACAGAAACCTGGAGGCAGGAACTGAATCAGGGACCACGGGGAAGCAATTCTTATTGGCTCGTTCCACATGGCTTGCTCAATCTGCTTTCGTTTTATTTATTTATTTTTTCCTTTTTGGGACAAAGTTTCTCTGTGTAGCCTTGGGTGTCCTGGAACTCACAGAGATCAGCCTGCTTCTGCCTCCTGAGTGATGGGATTAAAGGCGTGCGCCACTGCCTGCTCATCCTATTTCTTGTTTTGTTGTTGTTGTTGTTTTCCGAGACAGGGTTTCTCTGTAGCTTTGGAGCCTGTCCTGGAAGCACCCTATGTCTTATTCCATCCATAAACACCTGCCCATCGGTGACACTGCCCACAGGGGACCGGGTCCTTCCACATCAATAATTAATCAAGAAAATACTCCATAGCTTGGTTCTGACTGCCCCTGGAGAGGTGAGTGTCTGTGTTCCCTGCTGGAGGGCCCTGCTCTTTAGACCCTAGTCCCCAGAGTTTACATCCCATGCCCCACCCCCATCCAGCAAAGCCCCAGCGACCTGGGAGCAACCCTCCACACTTGCAATCATCCCCAGCTGCATCTCTGGAGTCTTGACCCTACTTTCCCTGGAGAGGTGAATGACTGATTTACAGCTGGAGGGCCCTGCATTCTAGGCCCTAGTCCATGGAGGAACATTCTGTGCCCCACCCCCCAACCACCAAATCCCTGAGACCCCAGAGCAGCCGCCTCACACACCTGCAACCGTCCCCCACTGCACCTACTACCACCCTTACCTTGGCCCTGACTGCACCTGGAGAGGAGCCCCCAGAGCCATACCAGCGACTACCAGAAGCTTGGCCTGGCCTGCATGAGGAGGAAGAATGACCACCTAAGCCACAGGCCCCACCTGCACCCCTTAGAGGAAGAGATGGGTAGGTACCGATGCAAGAATACAGTCATCAACCTAAAGAACAACATGGCAACACCTGAACCTAGTGGTCCTATAACAGGAAGACCTGAACATCCTAACCCAGAAGAAGCAGAAGAAAATGACCTTAAATATATTTACACAATGGAGTACTACTCAGCATTAAAAAAAAAAAGACATCTTGAAATTCTCATGCAAATGGATGGAACTAGAAAAGACCATCCTGAGTGAGATAAGCCAGACTCAGAAAGGCAAACACAATATGTATTCACTCATAAGTGGATATTAGATGTAAAGCAAAGGATAACCAGCCTATATTCCACAACCCCAGACAAGGAGAACCCTAAGAGACATGAATCCCTCTGGGAAGGGGAAATAGACAGGATCTCCTGAAACTTGGAAGTGGGGGCGGGGGGGGGGGTGGAAGGAAAAGGGAAGGGGACAGGGAGGGAGGGGGAGAACATGAGGGAATGGGATGGTTGAGATGGGGGAAGGACAGAGAGGGAGAGCAAGGAAAGAGATATCTTGATTGAGGGAGCCATTATGGGGCTAGCGAGAAACCTGGTACTAGGGAAATTCCCAGGAATCCACAGGATGACCCCAACTAAGACCCTAAGCAATAGTGGAGAGGGTGCCTGAACTGGCCTTCCCCTGTAATCAGATTGATGACTACCCCAATGTTATCATAGACCCTTCATCCAGTAACTGATAGAAGCAGATGCAGAGATCCACAGCTAAGCACTGGCCAAGCTTCTGGAGACCAGCTGAAGAGAGGGAGGAGCAAGAATAGGAGCAAAGCAGTGAAGACCATGCTGGGGACACCCACAGAAGCAACTGACCTGAGCTAGGGGAGCTCACTGACTCCAGACTGATAGTGGGGGAACCAGCACAGGACCAAACTAGGCCCTTTGAATGTGGCTGATACTTGTATGGCTGGGGCAGTCTGTGAGGCCATGGAAAATGGGACCAGGGTTTATTTCCTAGTTCTTAAACTGGCTTTTGGAGACCATCCATTTTGGAGGGATACCTTGCTCAGTCTAAATATAGTGAGGAGGGCCTTGGTCCTGCCTCAAAGTGATATGTCAGACTTTGTTGACTCCCCATGGGAAACCTTATCCTCTCTGAGGAGTGGATGGGGGTGGAGAAGCAGAAAGAGGGGAGGGAGTAGGAACTGGGATAGGTATGTAAAATGACAAAAGATCATTTTTTTAAAAAATAAATAATAAATTTGAAAGGAAGTAAAAAGGAAGGAAAGAAGGAAGAAAAACCCTTAGACTCGCCTTTAGGCCAATCTCGAGGTTTCCTAGTTTACCAAAAACAAACAAACAAACAAAAAAACAACCAGCACACATGCCCACACATTACATAATATACACATATATTTTAAGTAAATAATTTAAATAAAAAGTAGTGATGTATATGCTGGAATACACCTGTAATTCCAGACAGGAGGATCATGAAATCGAAACCAGCTTGGGCCTCACAACAACACTATGTCTCAAATAAATCAAGAGCTGCACATACCTGCCATGCTAGTATTGAGGAGGGAGAGGCAGGGAGATGCACATTTAAGGCCATTGCAGCTCATCCTGGGCTCCGTAATGAAACCCTGAAAACAGAAACAGGACTACGGTTTAGCTCAGGGTAAGAGCATTTGCCTAGCTTGGTGTGAGCCCCAGGCAACCCAGATTCTGAGCATCATTAATGATCCGGAGAATGCACATCAGGACAATGAAACACCACTACATACCTGTTAAATGTCTGCAATTAGAACGATTAAACCGTGGCGGTCGCTCAATAAAAGAGCATGTGTCTGGAGGCCCTGGATTTGATCTCCAGTCTAACAAGTGCTCACAAAGCAAAATTAATAAGACTACTTCCAGTATTGGTTCAGGTGTAAAACAACCAGCCATCTCATTGTGGTGGAATTCTGTCTCCCGGGCAAGACATGGCTGCCTCCATGTTGACATCGGAGCAGCTGTGAACACTTGCACAGAGAC